GGTTACTGACGGTCCTAATCATGAATATGGTACTAATTATTCATGCTAACTCCATTTTGCGCGAATTTTGGAAACGTCAACTCGAAATGCAAAAACTTGTCACCACGAGGAATCGAACTAGGGACCCCTTTTCTGGTATTCAGAGCCGTTCAGGAAAAATGAACCATGCTTCTGTGGTCCCCATATGTGCCCCAATGTCATGCAAGAAACCATTTTGAAAAAGCTTGGCACACCCTGAACGACCTCCCTTGTAAGCTAAGAATACGCAGAGACCTAATAACTTGTGGCAACTATGAACGCGTTAGAGAGAGAGAGGGCTATGCGTTGAAGGGCAGACCAATGAGAGCCGGCATCAAGTGCTGAAATTAACCGGCGAGGACAGGGCGCCATTCTTCGATTCTGGGCTGCTTTTCTCTTCCTTAGTTGTTCTTCATCCCCCTCATCAGCACTACTAGACATCTCTACCTTAATTTTAATGTGTTGCCTTCTTTTAAACATTTTGTCGTTGAGGTTATACCAACCTGATGTTTCGACAATAGACTTATGGTCTCGATATGGAAACAAAAGAAAACGATCGACAAGAACAACAATTCCAGTTAGTAAGCATTATCTGTGAATAATGGTTCCCTCAATTGTTCAGATGAATCCAATGGTACTACAGTAGCCAACGCCTTACGTCATGATCACACGCCGCAGTTTTGCAGCAGTAATCTACTTCAGATTCATTTCTGAACTCACATATTTGCCATCGTCTTGTTTTTATACTTAGCTCTTGTTACTTCAGATTCCGACGTGTTCTCAAGCAGGATTCATGTCGCTGTCTTCGCGTCGATTCATTGGGCCACTTGATCGCTGCCATTTTGCTTCTCATTATTGGGGTTTTTTTGCTGTTTTTATAAATTATTGCCTTCATTCAAGGTGCTGCTCAGCTGAGAGTTCGGTTACAGGCTCTTAGTTCTCAGGCCCTGGAGGAGAACATTTAAAACAGGGCATTTGAAAGACCGTGGTCAGGTAAGGACAAGCCAGTAAAAATTAAGACACCGCTAGGAAGAACAGGAAAAGGTTCTAATGGTTGCTCACGCACCCCATTAGAATCTTTTCCCCTCTCTAATTCTTGATCCCAAGTTGCGTAGGTCACTCACTTTAACACATTCACGACGACGCCCCTTTTCCACTTTTCGGTCGCGTGGGACGGACGCGATTTTGTGGGCGCCGCCGCCTCACCACATAACCGCAGATTTTGTTTTGTAAATGAACAAAAACATGAATGTCACAAAATAATTTCTGCAATGTCCAATGCGTAAAGATTATCTAAACATATAACAGTAGGATTTCGATCAGAACGACAAATAGTGGTTACGAAAAGAGAGCATTTATTCACTTTCCCCGTGAAGGAATTTAAAAGCATTTTACACTCGATTACGAGGTTTGCCCACCTATCTGTCCATTCCTAGCGCCTGGCAAGCGATTATCAGTTGGCAGCCCATATGGGCTGCCATCGTCCCAGGAGCGCATGTTGTTGGCAGCCCATATGGGCGGCCATCGGCGTGAATGTGTTAATATCCTGCCTAAGGACACGCGCGTTGAGGTCCTTTGAGAGGAGTTCCAAATAAGTCTTGAAATTTTTTGCTCAAGCTAGAGTCTGCTAAGAGGAATCGCTGTCCGATGTCAGCTTAATAACACTCATGGAAATCTCACCTCTCAATAATGAAGCTCAACTAAAAACATGTGTTCCACTTCCGTAGTCAAAGGCACTACTACAGTTTCGGGGTTCATTGAGGAGGGGGTGTGAGCTCGAAGGCGGAGCACAAGGAAACATTGTAATTCCTAGTTTCGCAGCAAATCGTAAGTAAAAGTGATTTACCCAGGATTAATTAAACAGTTGAACTACAGTTGGTACCCATATGTACCCGTAGTCAAAGGGTTCTACTTCAGTTGCGAAACTTCTTGGGATACTGCGGCCGAATCAAGACCGAAAAATTTCGACAAGGCACCAAATGGAAACTTTATAATCACTAACTCCGAAACTAATCGCCAAAGCCTGAAGAGTCGCATGTAGAGGTTGTGCAGAGCAAGCCTAGCCGCAGCCCACTGGTCATTGTGCGTAAAGTCCAAAAAGGTGGCATTTTGGCGTGCTGCAGTGGTTTGTGTTGTAAATGTGTTCCATTCGTAAGTGATCGTAGGTATTTTGAGAGTCTTCTATTTGGGCGGATATGGCCTAACGACAAGAGGGGCCGCTACCGTGCGTGTGGTCCGCGGATCGAATCCCAGCTTATATCCTGCGTATTTCAGCCACATCTCTAAATATGAATGGTCGTTGCCGAAAGTGGTGCTCACCACGCAAAACACAACTGATACTCTCTATTCTAAAAAAATCGTAGTCTAACAAGGAAAGGCTCCCAAGTCGCCATGACCATTAAGAAGAGATGTGTAGCACTGGATGTGTGCCTTTGAAACGCTGATCTCAAATCTACCTTCCAAATCTGCTAAACGATTCTCTGAAGGGAGTTATGAAGCAAAACAGTGCAACGGCAGTGGTCGGGATTTGCAGTCAAAACGTCGTAGGATCGGCCCCTGATCGCGTTTACTGTCTTGCGTTCTTCAGAGATTAGGCTAAACAGGCTATTAAACGTTTTAGCTGCAAATCCCGACCACTGCCGTTGCGCTGTTTTGCTTCATAACTCCATTCAGAGAATCGTTTAGCAGATTTGGAAGGTAGATTTGAGATCAGCGTTCAAAGGCACATCTAGCGGTATACATCTCTTCTTGAATGGCCATGGCGACCTGGGAGCCTTTCCTTGTAAGGTTAAATCGTCTCTTCTGCTGCCATAGCTATACGATAAAAGCGGACGCCCTAATAACTTCTCCATATCTCCACACTGCACTGTTTCTTCGTTGTCACCTCACATTAACTGTCAGTTTTTTGAGTTTATGAAAATCAAAATTCCCAGTATTTGAAAGGACGTTTTTCGTACCAGTAGTAACTCTTCCTGGTGTATTGGATTGTACTCTGTAATATTGTGACTCGAAAACTTTGAAAAACCAAATTACGTCTTTTCCCATATGCCAGTTTGGGACACACCACTACCAATATCAGTACCTGAGCTTAGAATTCAAAGGAGGGACCACGTTGAGTTACGAGTGAGACAGGTCCAAGCGCCGCATTCCCACTGTTTCGTTTTGGTCCACAAAGTTCTGTGGAGACGAGGAAGTTCAAATTTCATCTCTTCTGTTCCAGGTGCTTTCGGAAGTGTTCTCGCGACGCAGCTCCAGATTGTTATGAGACGAAGTTAGCCTTCAAATGAATTTGTTGCGAATAAATACTTGAATGGTTGAAGGATGAACTTTTTGACGTGGACGCATTCTATTTTGGAATGCGCCACGCATTCGACTTCCATCTGGGATCGTGATATCATTGGCATTTGAATGCGATGTGATCCATACTTCGTCTTGATGGCCAGAAGTTCTTAATACGGGATTGAGGTTGAGCACCATAATATCCATCAGTCTCAGTGCCAGATAAGCCACGTCCAGTAAACAGTATGTAAAGTGAACTGAACTTGAGAGTTTTCCTAATCCCAGACGATATTAATATCATTAACCCGACCCCGATGGTGGGGAGATCTGGAGGCTTCGGGTGATCCTGGATTTTTCTCGAAAAGCCTTCGGGTCCTAAGTGGGACACTTTCCATTAGGCCCCACACCAATTCGTAGTTTACACATGGTTTTATTACTACATTCACATATACTTTACACAAACGGGGAACGACAGCCTTCGCATTTCTGAGGTATGTGTGCATGTAAAAATAAAAGTATGGGTGGCCCAATCATCGAACAATGATTGGGCCACCCATACTTTCGTTTTTACATGGGTAAGAACGATTTGTAGCCAATAGAGAGAGAGATTTTACGAGGTCTATGCAATACGGAGGGGAGGTGGTGCGATAGTTTGTGCCACTACAATATTTTTCCATTTTGCAGGGGAGGAAGTGGCCGGGGTGAGTTAAGCTAGTCATTTCGATTCCGCTTTCACAGCTACTCTTCTTACTTCCAGTTAAGCGAGTCATTTCGATTCCGCTTTTACACCTACTCTTTAACTTCCTCCTCCACCCCGAAATTATTGGAACCGCCAGAGCTGCTGCACCATGTAACCCCCCTTCCCACTGGAGTGGACCCATCTGAAAGTCGTCGGATGAGTCGACCTCAATAAGGAGCTCCAACTAATTGCGAAAAACCTTGATGATTCAGCATTCGAGCGTCGCTATAAAAATCACCCTCGTGACCCTGCTCATTACTCATACCGAATACCTATCGATTGATAATTCGAAATTCGAAAATATTGGGTAGGGTTGGATTGCGTGGGGTGGCCAGCTTTTTCTGTTCGAATTCCTGTTTCCACGGGTTTTTAAGCATATTGGCCAGCATGAGCACAACTATCTTCAGCTGACGTTTTATAGGCGAAGGATTAGAGGAAGTCGAAACTATTACCTGTGCAGAAATAGATTTTGAAATTCGAATTTGTTTTGAGTGCTTTTTTCAGGCGACGACACACCACGCAACACCTGTCACGCGCCCTCTGCAGAAACAAACGTGACGACTGCGGGGTTTTCCGATTCGAATCGTCGATGTCGGCGCCCTCTGATTCTGTTGGGACCTCTGTTCAATTTTTTTATTTTTTCTTACAACGGGTTCTATTTCGAAATGGGTCCATTTCATAACCCTTCGTCGAAAAAGTCGGTCTTTGCGGAAGTTCTATCGCAACATTTCCATTACTGTTTTTCTCCTTTGTTGCCATGGTTTTTCTACTTGGTGATTTGTTGGCTATCACTTGAAATTGATTTGTTCTTATTTCAGGACTGGGCTAAATCGCAATATCCCGGGTCGTGTGTGAGTGAGAGTGTGTGTGGGAGTTTTTTATTGTATTATTATACTGCGAGTGTGTGCGGTGGAAGAAGAGTCCGGAAACTACCGCAAAACGAATATCAAATCTACAATCAAAAATGGCAGCTCTAACGGCGACACCTATGGTTATTCTTGAAGAGGCAAAGAAACAGTTCCAAGGAGATGGTAAACTCAATGTGCAACTTCTCGATCAGGTTCGGTTATAGGGTTAGGCGCAATGTGGCTCGGGGGGGGGGCACCACGTAACATCGCGTCAAGATCACAGAAAAGCTCCAGTTTCAGGACTAAGCTTTTGAAGAGGGGAAAGACGAAGCAAGGTTTCGTATCCTCCGGAGTTCGTCCCTGCTGCCAGATTAGTCCCAGAAGGCCTTTCTACAGGGTCCACGGACTACTTGAACTCAGCCCTTTAAACCCCTCTGCGCTCTCGGGTCCCTCTCCTCTCCAAGGCTTAGTCCTAGGGCATTCACCCGTTCTCTAATCGTCTGTGCTCTAGCCATCGCGGCAGGACCATTGAGGAAAAATCAAGTAGTCCGTAAACCTTTCTACAGAGTGCCCCCCCCCGAGCCACATTGCGCCTAGGGTGATTGGGCTTTTTTGAAGAAAACGTAAAGTTATTCATTTACAGGTTGTGACGATGATGAACAGAGCTACCGGTGAAGAACAAAAATTGGCAAATATGATCCTAGTAGAATTGAAGGAAAATCCGAATTCATGGACCAAGGTCTGCATGAGTGTCTCTTTATAGCTTAAATATATGAAAATTAGACGATTTTCCAGCTATTCAATAGGCTTTCTCAAGTTTAAATAGCCTTATGAGGCCATCATCAAGATTTCTTCGTTCTCATCAGATCTTTGTTCTTAACGGCCGAGGCGAGGGCTAGACCACCCAGTGGTTGGCGCCACGTTTAGTTCAAGTTCTGGGTGGTCGATTCTATGCCTCGGCGATTGAGATAAAGGATCTGATTAGCGAGGAAACCATGACTACTCCTCATGAAATTCTTCAATCTAGGAAAGACATGAGGTTTTCAGTAACAAACGCAGTTTTCCCAAGTTTTGGCAATAAAATATTAATTTGGCTGTTACAATCAATTTTCAGCTTTCCCGATGCCTGTGCGGTATTTTAGTACTGAGAAGTTAGAAGTTCTGTTGCTATAGATGGTGAGCAGGAGCAACCCTGCGTGCTGATATTAGGTGTTCCTTGATCAATTGCCTTTCAATGCCATTAAGTTTTGATGCGGTCATATGAGGACACAGCCCAAATGAATGTTAGGTGGCGGATCGGTATCTTTTTGTTCGGGGTTTCGACGTTAAGCCTTCAGATGTTCCTTGCGCAATTATTTTTGTGGCTGAAGTTGCTATGTTCCATCAGGCTTTTGATAATTCGTGCTCCACGCTTACAACACTAGATATGGCGATATTATCCTCTGCACTTTAGCGCAAATGTTACTTTGCTAATGTCTGTGAGTTGAAGCTAAGGTCTAGGAATTCGAAGTGGTACTTTCTGTTATTTGAAAGTTTATTAAGTTATGCGGTGTTTGGGAGTAGCTCCAGTTATAATTGGTTGTAAAGAAATGAACTCAAACTTGTATAAGGGTAAAGGGACCAAATGGGATAGCAATCTATAAATGAAAATGCTCAACTCCCAACAGTTAGCAGTGCAGCACGTTCTATGTAGAGGTCATTCATCATGCTGGTGAGCGTCATATGAGAATGTTTTGGACATGAACATCCATTCGCAGAGCCACTGTGCACTTTTGTTTCTTAATTGTATAAGCTGAAATAGCATGAAATGTCTTTCATCTATTAGTTTTCATTTAGGTAACTGAATAAAGGCAGTGAAAACTTGACCCTTTTGACAATGCTTTTTTAAGGTGGACGCTATCTTGGAGTACTCGGACCTCGCGGAGTCGAAATATTTTGCGCTGCAGATTCTCGAATCCGTTATTCAAACCAAGTATGTATTGATACCTCAAGCTTTTGTTACAGGACATCTACCCACACTCACTGAAAGATTTTTAGATGGAAGTCATTGCCGCTTGTACAGCGAGATGGTATAAAAGGTTTCATAGTGCAGTTCATTCTAAAACTTAGTGAGTCTCGCATTGAGTCTGAGAAGAATTCACTCTTGCTACACAAGCTCAATCTCGTTCTGGTTCAGGTATTTATCCGACTCTGACTTTGATTCCTTACTCGTTTACATCAGCGCTGATACGTACGTTTCAGATTGTGAAACAAGACTGGCCGAAGCACTGGCCTTCTTTCATCACGGACATCGTTGAATCATCGAAGACGAACGATAACATTTGTGTGAATAACATGAACATCCTGAGTCTCTTAAGGTGGCTTACTTTCATATGCAGATAAAGCACTATGCAGTAGGAACTCATTCACTCCCTAATTGGAGGCTGAGGTGGTCTGGTCATCTTGTAGAGTTCTCCCAATTATTGGCTACTGTAGTAGAAGGCGCGTTGGGAAAAGAGGCAGTCGCTTTGAAATTGATGCCATCACTTCTTTGTCGAAAATTTTTTTGAGGGAGTTTGGAAATTTTCGCATGTTAGAAGATGCATAGGTTTCCTGAGAATTTCTCGGGTGGAGCGCGGGGGGCCCGATTAGCTAAGATCTCAAACATTCCTATGAAAGCTCTTCTTTTTTCCTCATATATTCAACAAGTGACAAGGGAGAGCGAACCTTTCACTCTGTGCCGCATGTCGTGTTTTGAGCTAACTATCGAGGATTTCTATTTTGGGAATTTTCGTAGTGCTCGGGACCAGTTTGTGTTTTTTCTGCACAATCGCACACAATCCGACCTTGACTGCGATTTGTACCGTTGATGACTGCCCAATCGCAACCATAACGCGCTGCGAAATGACGGGGCACTAACTCACTAATAAGTCACACTTCTGCAGATTTGGGATAATCAACACACACATTATTTAAACTTTTTCGCCACACTTACTGAAACCAAGAAGGTTCAGACTGTTGTGGTCTTTGTTGCCAATTACCTCAGTAATTTGCCGCAAACGGAAATAATGGAATGTTTTTTGCATGGCGAGGAAATAACCATAATTGCTTTGTACAGTTTCTCCATCGTCATATCTACCAACATTATCGTTTTCGTTAAGATCTACAATTACGCGATTAAAAGGATAAGGCAGAAGTTCTGGGATCAGGTGCAGCAAGCGCCAAGTCGGGGATGGGTCTCCAAAACTCAGCGTCTGTACTCTGGTCAGTGACGCAACTCTTTGTCAAGAATAGGGGAAGGGTCGAAAGATTCAGGTTTTGGAACCCATCTCCGAGTTAAGGCTTGCTGCACCCGACCCCTGGATCAATTTCATCATTCTTTGTGGCTGCCAAAGCCCAATATCGGAACTGTAGTACTGCTTCGCAGCCGTCTTGGAATTGAAATTCGGAGAGAGAAAAAAACCTAGTTTACTTTGCACTTATGTTCCTTTTGCGTCAGCTCAATTCTAGTGCGCTATGAACCTGCTCAAAGGTAGAAAGTCCCCTACTCTAGGTAGAAGTCATAACGGACCAGTGATTTTGGTGCAGATCATCGTGTACTGGAAGTAGCATATCCAATTCTATCCAGCTAATGCGACAATCTCACAGGATGGACTCGTCAGCTTTATCTCCCTCTTTTGGAATTCAGATTTTGACCTTCCTCACAGAAGAAGTGTTGTTTACGAGACACTTCTAATGCTGCTAATGTGATGCTGATTTCGAATTCGAGTTTTTTCTTTAGCCTTGAGGCCATATGTTTTATTCGCGACCTTTCGGGTTCAGGAAGTTTACATAACACCAAAGGGTTGGACGCACCCACGACCGTTGTTCTCCTCCGCGTCGGAAAACGAAAAAAAATGTCATCAAACTTTTTGTTTAACGAAGTTTTGATGTTAGAGAGAAGGGATAATTAAGCCCATATTGTCGTTTTGTAGCGCGCGATATTATCACTTCCACAGCTGTGGTACGGTATCAACAAATTCCAGGGCAGACTGCCTCAGTATTACCTGTTTTTTTGTCTTATTTTCCCTGTTTGAAAAAAATCATTGCAGTGAAGAAGTGTTCGATTTCGGAAGTCAAAATCTCACTCAAGCCAAAGAACAGCATTTGAAACAACAGTTTTGTGGACAGTTTCAGGAAGTTTTCACGTTGTGTATCACTATTCTTGTGAGTGCAAGATTTTGTATCCGTGATCTCTCCAAGGCAATTATTTCATATTTTCCAGGAGAAATGTCCGGCCAATTCTATTGTCGAAGCGACTTTGAAAACCTTACATCGGTTCCTATCTTGGATTCCTGTTGGCTATGTGTTTGAAACAGACATCACTCAGCTTTTGAGTGAAAATGTATGTAGTCACCAGTTATTTTGGAACGCACTAGGGTTCATAATTTTATGTTATGCTATGTCTCTTATTTAGTTCCTCTCCTTGGAAGTTTATCGAGTGGTAACACTTCAATGCCTCACGGAAATTTCAATGATACAAATCGAAGCTGAAGACAATGCGTATAAGGAGAAACTGTGCGCAATGTTTTGTGCCACCATAAAAGAGGTCTGAATTTCTTTATAAAATGGTCACTGATCGTATAGCTTCTCTCTGACGTCAAGCCAATTTCTCGGTAATCAATTGTTTTTTGTAGATCGGCAGCTTATTAGGGGAAGGCGCAGATCTTGCCGCCGCATACCAAAAGGGATCAGATCAAGATCAGAAGTTTATCTCCTGCTTGGCACAGTTTCTTGTGGCTTTTCTCAAAGATCATTCTGCGCTAGTTGAGGTTCGTTTTTACTTAGTTTCTTGTTTAAAAGCAGTAGGAAAGGTCGCGGTAGGGTGTTCTCCTTTCTAGTATCGTGAACAATTTGCGAATAGAAATTGAATGTTTTTCCTACGGCGTCTTTGAAATTTCGACTGTATTTTTAGAACTACAATAGTGCATGTCCTCAAGTCACCGAATATCACAAATACGCAATAGAGCTACTTCTGTCAATAAGCCAAGTGGAAGACGTTGAAATTTTCAAGGTTTGTTATTTCCGCCTGCTTGTTCGATAGGTTTTGCCGTCAGCTTATTTATATTCAAAACTGAATTGGTGTTTTAATCTGGCCTTCTTCTGCCCTCAAGTTCAGAATAGCACTATTTGATTTACTTCTTTCATTACTGGATTTAATCATTTGAAGTGTTCACATTATGCATCAAAACAGCAGCATTAAGGTGTGTCTTGATTACTGGTGCGCTTTGACATCTGAACTTTACCGCTTGAATCCGTTCGCACCACCATCTCCACCCATTGCTATATCATTCAGCTGTGGAGGCGCTGCTGGTGGCAAAGAACACCCAAGGAGAAAATTGTACAAGTTCGTTTATTCCCTCATTTATTTATCCACTATTCAATTTAGTGCTTGTCCACTTCTAAATAGGACAAGATCAGAGATTTCTTCCTTCAGGGAGCATTTGTCAAACTTGCGTACTATTATGATTTCTCGAATGGCGAAACCGGAGGGAGGTGTTGGTTGTGGAGAAAATGATCAGGGCGAAAGTTGGTTTTGTGTTTCTATTTTCGTAATAACTTCGTAAGATTTCACCACTACTTATTTTCTGTTAGGTTGTGCGTGAAATAGTCAAGGATACTGATTCTATTACACTGTACAAGAACATGCGTGAATGTCTAGTCTACCTCACGCATTTGGACTGTAAGGATACAGAGCAGAAAATGACGGACAAGCTTGCTAGCCAGGTTGGGTATTTTTTGTTACGTTTTCTTCTCCTATAGTATGAATTTTGTAGCAAACGATTAGCAGTGTTTCTGGGGCTTTCCCATGATTCATTCGTTGTTCTGTCATCTTCCTTGCCGAATATACTTTTGTTTGGGTTTTGAATCCTTGTCATTCACTGTTGTCTGTGTTATGTTTTTCGTAGGCACAATTGGACCCCTTTATCCTATGCGGTAGGGTGACGGTCGCTCGCACAATACCTAGCTGGGTAGATAAACGATGTCAGTGCATTCATAAGGTAGTTTTTTTCGAATATTTGCAACTATTTTGAACTATTGAGGGAAATGAATGACTGGAAATACTCTGGTAAGGTATCAGCTGAAAGACACTTGCAGGAGTTCCAAGAAGGTCACCATCTGGGCGCTCATTTTTAAAAAATAGTTTCCCTTCAGGTGAATGGATCGGAGTTCTCGTGGAAAAATCTGAACACACTATGTTGGGCAGTTGGCTCCATATTCTGGGCACTTAATGGATTGAAGAGGAATGAAAAAGCGGTTCGTCGTTCTTTAATCGAGGTTTTTATTGCGGTTCTGTATAGTGACTTAAATTTCATCCCTTTTTTTTTACTAGCACTAAATTTTTATGGTGATTCTCTGACGGAGGCATTGATGATTTTTCGCCATTTTCGACATTTATTCAGATCTGCTTGGTCTGTGTGAGCAGAAACGCGGTAAGGACAATAAAGCTGTGATTGCGTCGAATATTATGTACGTTGTGGGTCAATATCCACGATTTCTGCGAGCTCATTGGAAGTTCTTGAAAACGGCAAGTTCCTTTGCAATCCTACTCATATACATTGTGTATATGTGTCCTGTTTAAGGTAATCAACAAGCTGTTCGAGTTCATGCATGAAACCCATGAAGGAGTTCAAGATATGGCATGCGACACCTTCATCAAGATCGCGATGAAATGCAAACGTCATTTTGTAATTGTTAGTAATTGTTGATAATTTTATCAGGAGTCTCACATAAATGCATGCTATGTTTATTTTTATTACAGATGCAAGTCGGCGAACAAACTCCGTTTATTGATGAAATGTTGAAGAATCTGAGTGGAATAATTTGCGATCTTGCTCCTTCACAGGTACGGTCAATTGCACATTTGGTCCCTTTCTTCTCGTTTGTTGGGTTCTTTGGTTTTCAATGCTGAAACGGTAACAATGTGTTCCATGATGTTTTGTACTATTGCCGACAATCCGATCGTGGCTTGCTGCAAGATTTTCGAAAGCAAGAAAGAGTTTCAATAGTTTGTTAAGGCTCTTCTAGTCTCACATCACTAAAGTAGACTATGATTGCACCACCACATAATAGGTCACTTTGCTCATCATGCTGTCATGTTTGTGAAGTACGAAACTCTTGGGCGTGATATATGGTATAATTTCACGAAATGTAATGCAAATGCCACAATTGTTATAATTATAGTGGCTTTAAGAACTTCAACTTACCCTAGTGGGACCCTTTTAGTGGGAAGTTAGAAGTGTCTAGGTTAGAAATGTCAGTGAGGAGTCATCGCCATCCTTATTGTTTTCTTTATGTACGTCAGCGTCATGTCACGTGGCGAAGATAACGTAAGTTGCCGTTCCGCGATAGCACAATGATCTTTGATGCCATTCAAATTATGGGTTCGATTTGTCCATTGGAAAAGGCGTGGTGGACGGCTATCGAATGTAAATTCAGACGTCAACTGTTGACAGTTGGTTGGTTCTGTAAAATCAGTGAAAAAGGTTTTTGGTGAACCCGGATGTATTTGCTCGCATACACAGGAACAGCTGAAATTCAACTGCGTCCGCTTCTCTGCAAATCGTTGTGTCAATAGTGCATGATTGATCGCGACATAGCTGGGACTCTGACGCAAACCTTGTTATCCCCATTTATTGCTCAGATTTTGTTCCGAAAACAGCTGCAAAGCAAGTTGTTTGTGAAATTTGGTAAATTTATGAATTAAAAAAACTGCAAGGGGATTTCCTCAAGATACTGCGTTATGAATGGGCATGCCATTTCATTGTACTTTATGTCCTAAAGCGCTATTCACTTGTTGAACCGACAGGTAGTCTACATAGTTTGATAACGTTCAGGTCCATGTTTTCTACGAAGCGGTCGGACACATAATCTCCTCGGCAAGCGATGAACCTGATCAACAAGCTGATTTGATAGAAAAGTTGATGGCATTGCCAAACTCGGTTTGGGATGAAATAATTGCAAATGCTGGCGAGAACATGGCTGTGCTCGAAGATGCGGAGGTATTTCTAACTAACATTCCTTATCACTTTTTTACATCTATTTTGAACGTGCAATCTATTCAGGTGTCAAGAAATCTTTTGAACATCCTGAAAACTAATGTCGCATGTTGTAAAGCTGCTGGCAATCCATTCATCACACAACTGAGTCGGTTGTACATTGACTTGCTCTCGCTTTATCGTATTTTATCCGAAAAAGTATCGACAGCTGTTGAGCAGAATGGACAGGAAGTATTGAAGGTGACCGTTTACGTGCATTTCTTTCTTTTTTCGGCCGATGTTTCTCGCGCGATATTTTTTGAATGAATTGTTTTGTAGATGCCTCTGCTCAAGACGATGCGTGCGGTGAAACGTGAGATTTTAATTCTGATTTCAACATGGGTGGCCAGTGCGAAGGACAGACAGGTTAATCATACGACTTTTTAGCTAAGTTTTTCGGGTTTGAAGGTGGTCCGCGTGATATTCGATTTTAGATGGTTCTTGAAAACATCGTTCCCCCTCTTTTCGATGCCGTGCTCTTTGACTACCAGAAAAACGTTCCAGCAGCTAGGGAACCGAAAGTACTCTCGCTTCTCAGCATCATCGTCACAAAACTCGGGGTAATTTTTCTGATTTATGGGTTCTCTAGTTTGACCGGACTACATTTTACATTTTTTAGTCGATGTTGGCTTCACAAGTGCCTCAAATCCTTGCGGCTGTGTTTGAGTGCACTTTGGAAATGATAAACAAGGACATGGAAGTGAGTCTTGGTTTATACGAGTTTTGGAATTATTCCTCATTCATAGATTGTGAATTTTGCTCATATGAAAACGTTCCAGGCTTTCCCAGAGCACCGTACAAATTTCTTCCAACTGATTCATGCTTTGACTGTAGAATGCTTCCAAATTTTCCTCGCTTTACCGCCAGAGCAACTCAGCTACATCATCGATGCGGTTGTGTGGGCGTTCCAGCACTCGATGCGTAACGTGGCTGAGATTGGTGAGTCTACTTATGGTCACACAGAGTTTCAAAAGCGATGCAAGGCTTAAATTATTTTTACAGGTCTGGACATTCTAAAAGATATGCTAGATCGTGTAGAATTTCTACCTCGTGAACAATCGCAGCCCTTCTACAAACGGTTTTACATGCAAATTTTGCAGCATGTTTTGGCCGTTGTGGCTGACAGCAGCCAAGTCCATGTTGCAGGTATGTGTAACCTTTCTTTCCCACTTATGAACAACAGTGCAAGGAAATTGCAACTCCGGTAAAGCTCACTTAAGCATTAACAGGGTTATTTCTGAGCGGTACTGATCTTCTTTTATGCATACATAAAAAGCTACTGAAATAAATCAGGATGAAGATTAGGAGATAAGTCAAGCCCTGCTCATGCTTTTGGTGTGAACTGATGCAGCTACCGCGAGGGTCCCTCATATTTTGAGTGGCATTTCTTATCCTTCTGTTTTTTTCTTCTTACTTACTTGTTCTTGAGAAGAACAATGATTCATGCAAAAATATACTTGATCATATTAATATTGTCAACTTTTTTT